TACACACTAAATGCCTTGACATTCTCCCTTTAAAATTACACTAACCATTAGTCAGTCTACGCAAAAACTTTACTACCTTGAAAAATTTCTCTCCAATAGTGAGAGTCACTGACACATTTTGGTTTCATCTAACTTAGACTGATAGGAAGGAGGAAGAGCAAGAGAAAGACCACAACTTCTGAGATGAAAACCAGCTGTAGAAACAGAGGACTTCTTAAAATCTTTAGATACTCTAAGAAATAAAAAGAGGACTGGAAGTCTAACATGATAGCAAGGATTATTTCAAAACAGAATAAGGTTGCAAGGTTTGTCAAAAAAGGAATCAATTTCTCGGAGATGGAATCTAAAACTAGTTCAGTGCCACAGACATGTTTCTTTTGCTACTCCTTTTCCTTAATTTTTTTCCCTTCAAAGGCTTTTGGAAAATATTCTGCATAGATTGCGCACATACTCTATGCTCATTCATGTATCTCACTCTCTGAAGCACCTGTACTTTAATACTACCAGAAAGGTAAGAGGTTCTGCAGAGCAGTCCTCCCTTCCATGTCCATGCTTCTGCGAGAGCACAAAGGCAACACAATAAGATGATCCAAGTTCTAACCCACAAAACATGGACACCATTAAGACTAAGTCCTGGTATGTTTTTGATTAAAGTAAGGATTTTTGGAGAAACAGGTAGTGAATGTGCACTACTCAAGGAAGTAGTTGGCAACTTCATGGTCACGTGAGGAAGGAGGACATCTTGTGGACAAAAGCAGTTGGATGTTGTCCCAGCATCATCAGAGTCAGCTGGGCAAACATGATTCTTGGCCTCTGCCATGGCATAAAGCAGAGGTTCTCAAACTGTGGTCCGCAAGCTCCATTCAGGTGGTCCGCGGATAGTTCCCTCTAAGGTGCGTGCCTGGGCAGCCGCACATGAGAGAATGAAGGGCCATCCACCTAATTAGTGGAGCTGCGGAGGCATGGGGTTCTCCAAATATATTGCTTTTGCCCATCCACACTGTAAGGAGTTGTCGGCCTTTTTCTGTAAACCACATCTTTCACTAATACTCAAAAGTCACCCATTAACATTCTACAGAGGGCATAAAATCCCCAACCAACATTCTGAAGAAGAGAGGATGATGGGAGGTACTAGTGTGCCTACGCAATGGCTCTGGAGAGGCAAAAACTTTCTGAAAACCCAGTTAATTTAGTAAGTAACTTTGCCTTCAGCTTCATCACTTTGACTCTGTAGGTCCCCATAGTATGGAGGCAAGCTACTAGAGATAACCCACAAAGAAGAGAAGAATACTACTTAAGCAATCCTCACTCAAACCCAGGAGTGTGCACAAGGGGGAGAGCAAGCAGGGGCACAGCCCCCCCACAATAATCAGCAGGAGCTGACAGCTCCTCCAGCCCTGGGGTCACAGCGGCACAGAACATGCCCCCCAAAAGTGGTCAAATTTAAATTCCTGCGCATGCCCCTGCTCAAATCCAACAGCTGACTGTATCTGAACCAAGAGTACTGCTTAGCAGGAGTATGGACAGAACGCCAAAAAACAGCTCTGCAAACAATCAGATGGTTACATTATGTAAGCAAATTGTATAAATGGTTTTGCCCACAGTGGAGTGAGTGCTTCCCTTTCTGGAACCAAGATTCCTGCTATATTGTAGCAGATTACAGTGCACATCTTAATCCAATTACCTTGATTGAAAATGGCTAGATACTTCGATTTCTAGAATCGTGGGGTTAGAAGAGACCACAAAGGTCATCATCTAGTCTAAACCCTTGCCAAGATGCAGGATTTGTTGAGTCCAAACCATCCAAGACAGACGGCGATCCAGTCTCCTTTTGAAAAGCTCCAGTGAAGAAGCTTCCACAAGCTCCCTAGGCAGTCTGTTCCATTGTCCTACTGTTCTTATAGTTAGGAAGTTTTTCCTGAGATTTAATCCAAATCTGCTATGCTGTAGTTTGAACCCATTGCCCCATGTCCTGCCCTCTGTGGCAAGAGAGAACAACTTTTCTCCATCTTTTTTGTGGCATCCTTTCAAGTATCTGAAAACCACTATCATGTCCCCCCTTACTCTCCTCTTTTCCAAACTAAACATACTCAGTTCCTTCGGGCTTTGTTCATATAGCTTGCATTCCATCTCTTTGATCATCTTTGTCGCTGGATTCTGGATCCTTTCCAGTTTCTCTACATCCTTTCTATACATTGGTGACCAAAATTGGGCACAATACTCCAGCTGAGGCCTAACCAGCACCATGTAGAGTGGTATTATCACCTCCAATGACTTGCATGCTACGCCTCTGTTAATGCAACCTAAAACTGCATTTGCTTTTTTTGCAACAGCATTGCATTGCTGACTCAGGTTGAGGCTATGATCCATCACAACTCCCAGATCCTTCTCAGCAGTACTGAACAAGTTGTTCTCTGAAGAGAACAACTAATCTAGGAGATATATGGAACAGATAATTCTAGAGAAATAAAAAAGGGCTCTTCTTACATCCCAGATACAATAAAGCAACATAATCTCCCCTAGCAGGTCATATAATCTTGGAAAGAATAAGGACAAGATATACCAATTTATATGAAATATAAACTGTCAGCAACTGTCAGCATGAAATTAGGGCACATTTGTAAAACCATTCTCTCTTTGCAGAAGAACATGTGAAGCAATCAACTACCAGATCTTCTTGTTCACGGACCCTCCTTGCTGAAGTTATAACTGCCAAAAATGCCATGACCAAAGAAAAGTGGTAGAGAGAAAAATTAGTTAAAAAAAGAGACTCCATTATTTTTGTTAAATCCAGGTTAATAGTTCAACAGATTTATGAATTTGCTGGGGGAGAGTGGATATAAATTTACCACACTCTTCAATAATAAAAGGGCAAATAATGTTAATCTATTCCAGTAGCATAAAAATGCTGCTAGACATCCTCCAGTTGAAGTAAGCAATCTTCACACATTTACAATATCAGAAGGAACAAGTAATAGAGAACTAAATGAATTGATCACATAAAGGAGTTCACTTCTTTAGTGGCTGTCCAGTTCTTAAACTGCTTACACGTCCAGGTGTAAGACTGCTTTTGTTTTCCTGAGAGAGAGAATTCGGAGAAAGGAGAAGGAAGAATGGATGTTTTTCTTGTCATCTTTAGTAGGTTTCTAAAATAACCATTGGTTGGCATAAGGAAACATTCTGCTCCTTTTGGATGGATTTTGTCAAGGCAGCAATGGTTAAGTATGGGAAGTAGAGGAAAACATACAAAAATACCTTTCCAGAAGCAATTTGATGGAAAGATTAAGCTGTACCAAGGAAAAAATTACAACAGCAATATAAAGGCAGGAAAGCAAATTCCATCACTTACACTTCCTTTAAACTCATTATATATTAAAAAAAAAAAAAAAAAAAAAAAAAAAAATCACACTTAACCCTTCTTTATCAAGTTCAAAACGGCAGACGTCTGATGTCCATCTAATTAAGTAGAGTGCATTATTTCAGAGTGAAAAAAGTCCATCAAAGAACAATTAAATCAAGCCAATCCAATGCTTACAAGTTACAGTAGAACCTAAGAGTTAAGAACTGACCAATCAGTCAACCACAAATCTCATTTGGAACTGGGCAGCAGCAGAGACGAAAAAAAAGCAAATACAGTACAGTATTGTGTTAAACGTAAACTACTAAAAAATAAAGGGAAAGCAGCATTTTTCTTTTGCATAGTAAAGTGTCAAAGATGTATAAATCAATGTTCAGTTGTAAACTTTTGAAAAAAACAACCATAACGTTTTGTTCACAGTTACAAACAACCTCCTTTTCCGAGATGTTCATAACTCTGAGGTTCTATTGTACAGAGAAACCTGGCATATTCCTTCACCATTCCTTATAATCACAAGGTGGATTACTATCATCTTTTTGGCTAGACCATGGGTTGGCAACCTTTCAGAAGTGGTGTGCCGAGTCTTCGTTTATTCACTCTAATTTAAGGTTTCGCGTGCCAGGAATACATTTTAACGTTTTTAGAAGGTCTCTTTCTAGAAGTCTATAATATATAACTAAACTATTGTTGTATGTAAAGTAAATAAGGTTTTTAAAATGTTTAAGAAGCTTCATTTAAAATTAAATTAAAATGCAGGGCCCCCCGGACTGGTGGCCAGGACCCAGGCAGTGAGAGCGCCACTGAAAATCAGCTCGCGTGCCGCCTTCGGCACGCGTGCCATAGGTTGCCTACCGCTGGGCTAAACCATCAGCTGCTGAGCATATGCATGTGCCTCTGGGCAAGGACAAGAGACTTCAGACAGTCAGCAGGCAGTGTGCGTGTACCAGCTACTCACTCATATGGTTCGACTGTGGTGAGAATTCTCCATAGCCTGTTTCCTCCCTGCCAGCTTCCCTCCTGCTCCACTCTGACTACTGCCCAACTGCTTTACTCTCTCCTAACTGGGGGATAGTTAGCCCATTCTTCTCTATTGCTCAGCATCCCCCAGCACTATTCCAAGGTTTCCAAACAAACTGAGTCCATCACCCACTTTCCTTGAGCCACACCCTTCAGAAAGCTTCAAAACCCTCCCTTCCTGAACAGTCTCCTTTATGCTATCAGCTGTACCACTCTGTGACGTTGTCTAATTAAAATATAACCATGTAAATCATTATTGCTACCACTGTTGTATACTTGCAACGAATCTTATAAAAAGAGTAACTCATGGCCAGAAAGGGTTAAACAGCTTGCAGGCTAAATGACCCAAAACCAACCTTTAAAGTCATGTTAGAAAGGTATGCGAATGGTAATTAGGGCCATTCATGTTAGGTAGGCTAGAACTTTGAAATGCAAACCTATATTGTTAGAAGTGATACTACTTATGTGCATCTTAGAAGCAATGTAGTTGTAGCATACATGTCTAATTAATATATATACACACACACGTGAGATCAGAAGAGCTTCTCAACAGCTAAAATAAAAGAATGTTTATCCCAGTTAACAGTTAAAACGAAGAATAAATATTGGGTTACTTCTTACTTACCATTGTAGGTTATCCTTGGCTTCGTCAAACACATCACAAGATGCAAATCCATTTCATCTGAAGATACAAACTTTGAACATACAGGGCACTTGAATCCTATTAAAAAAAAAATATATATATATATATATAAATATATAGAGCCACTGATCACAGGAACTATTCTGATGGAAAGCTATATATTTGTACTGAACCCAAAATTTTACACACATTAAAAACCAAAAGCGAACTAGTAGCTTTTATGGATTCAACAGAAATAATATGTCTGACATTTATATAGTTCCCTGGATTCTGAAAAAAATCTCAAAGAACATGGGTGTTCAAACAGAACACTATTTTTGGAAGGCACAGTTTTGCACTCTGTGAAACTGACCCTATTATATCAGTCTCACACTTCATGAGTGCTTTTTCCTGGCAATGCTTTGCAGGTGCAAATCCTGCAAGCACAAAATTGTGTCTTCAAAGAAAGCCCTCGGGCTCTGTTTGAAAATCAGGCCCCAAAAGTATTTAATCTTTACCTATAACATATCTGAGTCTCTTCACCTACCACAGACATACTGCTGGAATGGAACATACAGTTGTTTAATAACTCAGAGCAACTTTAAAAACAGTTCAGGACAGTAGGTGGAGAATATCTTAACCAACTGAAATGGCTATGGGAATTAAAAAGGTAGACAGAATGTAGTCACTAAAATTTGAATTTGGGCAGGAGCTCTGAGTTAACACCTTCACTCTTACAAAGAATGCTATGAACCTTTAGTGATCACAAGCAATTAGGAACACTAGACTGTAGCTTCAATACTATCACATCCCCTAATACCACATACTGGGGCACAGATTTAATATTAACTCAGAGGTGTCAGCTCATCTACTGAATCACTGATATTACTTCCTGCAGCAGAGTTTTAACTTGACTTCTCTCATTGAAATATTAACCAGGCATGACCCTGCTTAGCTTGTGAGATCACAGCCCAAGCTGATTTGACATAAGGAATAATTAGATAGTCTGGACTCTGATGCAATGCCATAATGGTGCATGACACTTTGCTTAATGCTGTAATATCTGATTACCAACAACAGTGGCCTTCTAATTAAAAAACAAGGTTGGCTGGTCAAGTCTTGGAACCCACATCCCAAGGAAACTTCAAGTGGCAGACTGCTTTAGATCAATGGAATTGGTTTGCTTTGCACTGGTGCATAAGCTGTCTCAAAGAAAAAATGCTCATCTTAAGGTCTAACAGCTTGTTAATGAGTATAACATACAGCAAAAAATGTGAACCTAAAACATTCAAAGCTAGCCTTCAGCAATCATCCTCTGCTAATAGCGTAAGAGGAATAGGAAGATGAAGAAAAAACTGCCGTGGAGAGCAATTATGGAGGTGGGTACAGTTAAACACGGAGTCTCCCATCTCCATGTCCAGCTGAACATGGGATTGCTCATCTGAGGAAAAAAAAGACAACTGAGGGGGGATATAATAAGAGGTCTATATAATCATGAATAGTGTGGAGAAAGTGAACAGGGAAATGTGATTTACCCCTTCACATAAACAAGGAACAGGAGTCAACCAATGAAATTAATAGGCAGCAGGTTTAAAACAAACAAAAGCAAGTACTTCTTCACACAATGCACAAACTGTGGAACTCATTGCCAGGGGATGTTGTGAAACCCAGAAGTATAACTGAGTTAAAAAAATTAGATAAGTTCACGGAGGATAGGTACATTAATGGCTATTAGCCAAGATGGTCAGGGATGCAACACCATGCTCTGGGCGTCCCTAAACCTCTTACTGCCAGAAGCTGGGACTGGACGACAGGGGATGGAAGCCTTGATAACTTGCCCTATTCTGTTCATTCCCTCTGAAGCATCTGGCATTGGCCAATGTCAGAAGACTGGGCTACATGGACGATTGGGTTAGACCAATGTGGCTGTTCTTATGAAGGGCTGCTCCCAGGCTTTTTGCAATATTATTCCTCAGTGGTACTCCTAGTTCTATCTCTAGCACTAAATCATTCATAATGCAGAGAAGTCAGTCAAGGATATCAAATGACTTGATGCCACACTTTTAAGCTAATAATTCTTACAAGCTTTGATCTGTTAAAAATTATACAGATGTGGAGTCAACTTTTCAAACCATATTATTTACTTCCAATATTGTGCAATGGATTTCTTCCCACTGTTAATTTCTTCTTTATACCAAAAAAAAAAAAACCAAACCAAAACAAAAAAACCCACCACACCACACTATAAATTTTTGGTGCAAGATAAAAGGAGGCAAAGATTAAAATTGAAGACAAATAAGTGACTGTTGATGGGTGTGATGAGTTCAGAACACCAAAGACTGAACAGCTTTAAGAAAGTGATCATGTGAAGTCTCTTCAGTCTTGTGATTTCACACAACAGGAAGTGTTCTCTACCAAGTGATTTATAAATATATACTAAGCACCTCTCTTCAGCCACTAACCAAACTGAAATGGTCCGTTTTCTACGGCAGTGGCTCTCAACTTTTCTAGACTACTGTACCCTTTTCAGAAGTCTGATTTGTCTTGCCTACCCTCAGGTTTCAACTCACTTAACTTCTTGCTTACAAAATCAGACATAAGCCTACAAAAGTATCCCAGCACGCTATTACTGCAAATTGCTTACTTTCTCATTACCATATAATTATAAATCAACTGGAATATAAATATTGTACTTACACTTCAGCGTATAGTATATAGAGCAGTATAAACAAGTCATTGTTTATAGTACAAACTAACGTTTCATGACTTCGCTAGTGCTTTTTATGTAGCCTGTTATAAAACTAGGCAAATATCTAGATGAGTTGATGTACCTTGTGGAAGACCTCTGCATATCCCCAGGGGTACGTGTACCCCTGATTGAGAACACTGTACTTGTAGATTTGGGTATTATCCACCTATATCTTCATTAGTTCAGAAAGAAAGAAGGATCAAAATTAATACCACAAATACCCTATAAACATTATGTCAAATATTTCTACGGCAAAGCCTTCCTAATATATTTGTTTTTAATCTGTACCACTGGAATTCATTTGACAGATCCAAATAGCATGTATGAGAAACAATTTAACAAGTTTCTACTTTAAGTTGCTTTCAGCCTAGTTTTGACAGATACAAATAATTAAGAATGAGGCATATAGGAGCAGACATCTTTATTTGATCAACTGTAGTAGAGGAATTAGAAGGGAACTGCAGACTATATATGAAGCAGAGGTGGGAGTATAGTGAAGAAATAATGCCTGAGATCTAAATTTTAAAACTAAACTGTTTGACTACCAACCCAATAATAGCTGCAGAGTTGAAATAAAGCCTATGGTGCTCATCACTATCTTCTGCAGTAGAGAATGGGTAACAGGGAGGGAATGAAAAGATTTGAGCTAATATCACCATCCGTCCCTTCATCATTGTCACCAGAGAGAGAGGATGAAGCAGCTGAAAAAAGCTACAGCAACCAAGATTTTTAAGGGAGCGGGCTCTCCACTCTAGCTATTGCTTCCTGCCACTGCAAAAGACTTACTTGATCTCTAAGAAATTTAGAGCTGCATTTTGAATTAGCTGCCTTTAAATAAAATACACACACACACACACACACACACACACACTAGGGCTGTCGATTAATCGCAGTTAACTCACGTAATTAACTACAAAAATTAATCACGATTCACCGCAGTTTGAATTGCACTGTTAAAGAATAGAATACCAATTGAAATCTATTAAATATTTTTGGATGTTTTTCTATATTTTCAAATATATTGACTTCAATTACAATACAAAGTGTACTGTGCACTGTAAAATTTGCACTGTAAAAATGATAAAGTATTTTTCAGTTCACCTCATACAAGTACTGTAATGCAATCTCTTTATCGTGAAGTGCAATTTACAAATGTAGGGTTTTTTTGTTACGTAATTGCACTCAAAAACAAAACAATGTAAAACTTTGGAGCCTACAAGTCCATTCAGTCCTACTTCTTGTTTAGCCAATCACTAAGACAAACAAGTTTGTTTACATTTACAGGAGATAATGCTGCCCACTTCTTATTTACAATGTCACCAGAAAGCGAGAACAGGCGTTCGCATGGGACTTTTGTAGCTGGCATTGCAAGATATTTACATGCCGGATATGTTAAATATTCATATGTTCCTTCATGCTTCGGCCACCATTCCAGAGGACATGCTTCTGTGCTGATGATGCTTGTTAAAAAATAATGTATTAAATTTGTGACTGAACTCCTTTGGGGAGAATTGTATGTCTCCGGTTCAATTTTACCCATATTCTGCCATATATTTCATGTTATAGTAGTCTTGGATGATGACTCAGCACGTTCGATTTAAGAACACTTTTGCTGCAGATCTGACAAAACCCAAGAAGGTAACAATGTGAGATTTCTAAAGATAGCTACAGCACTCGACCCAAGGTTTAAGAAGCTAAAGTGCCTTCCAAAATCTGAGAGGGACGAGGCATGGCGCATGCTTTCAGATGTCTTAAAAGAACAACACTCTGATGCGGAAACTACAGAACCCGAACCACTAAAAAAGAAAATCAACCTTCTGCTGGTGGCATCTAACTCTCATGATAAAAATGAACATGCATCGGTCCACACCGCTTTAGATTGTTATCGAGCAAAACTCATCATCAGCATGGACACATGACCTCTGGAATGGTGGTTGAAGAATGAAGGGACATATAAATATCTTCCGACGCCAGCTACAGCAGTGCCATGTGGTTGTCTGTTCTCACTTTCAGGTGACATTTTGAACAAGAAGCGGTCAGCATTATCTCCTGCAAATGTAAACAAACTGTCTGCAATTGGCAGAACAAGAAATAGGACTGAGTGGACTTGAAGGCTCTAAAGTTTTACATTGTTTTATTTTTTTAAACCACATAATGCTACATTTGTAAGTTCAACTTTCATGATAAAGAGATTGCACTACAGTACTTGTATTAGGTGAATTGAAAAATACTAATTCCTTTGTTTTTTTACAGTGGAAATATTTGTAATCAAAAATATAATGCGAGCACTGTACACTTTGTATTGTGTTGTAACTGAAATAAATATATTTGAAAATGTAGAAAAAAAATA